GAAAAATCAAAAACGTATCGGAGGATGTATATATTTTAGTGTTCTTTATTATATTATTTTATTGTGTTAGATGTAGAATTTGCCACCTTGGCTTAATGTCCAAAGCAAATTAAATAAATTACCCATCTATCTATCTATATATCTATCAATCAATCTCTCTCTCTTATCTATCTATATATCTATTAATGAAGAGAATGTAATATGTATTGACGTCGTAGTAATATAATTGAATTAAATTTAACCCTATTTCCTGTACGATGCCAATAATTTCTCCAAACTGTTTCTCCTTCAGATGATGCGTAAGGAGGATTATTATATACTAAAATGCGACAGCTCCATCAGGTATGAAAAGTTGACAGCAATTCTAATAAACAAAGTAGCTGTACAAAGTCTTAACTTCATGCTATACACATACATAATTTCTTTTTAAATTATAGATTTTATATAATTTTATGTTAAAATTACATGTTTCTTTAATTCATATTATCTTCCCTTCCTTATCAGAAATATTCTAGCGCGTACATGAAGACAACGAAGTATTATAGTAGAATGTCAACAATAACATAGAGTTATAATAATAATATTAATAATAATATGGCGATTCTTACTCACCAATATATTTTCCAAGAGTCATCCGCTATAGCCTGCAACACAAATTAAATCAAAAGATGAGAATGATTTTTAAAACAATAAATTAATAAAAACACATTCAATACATTAATGATGATTATCGTACACATGACCGAAATCAATCTAGAAGTCGATGACTGAAGTAACAAAGTAAAACTACATAAAATTGCATTATACACATTCATTTTAATAGGATTAGAAAAAATAGCATTCGAAAAAATTCCTGAAAGTGAATAATACCCAAAATTCTAGACTTATAAACAGACAACAGCTCACTTTGAAAAATACGTTTAAAACGCGGCAGTAACCCCCGCGAATCTTCCTCCGATGAAAAAGGAGCAAAAAAGCGCGAGGTGGACACATCTTCCCTCCACGTGTCACTCCGCACGGTGACACGACCGCTACACCAGTTCTCACCGCAGCGGCCCCCTACATCGGGGCGTCCCTCCCGCCGACGCGCTGCCACCCGGCTCCGCGCAGAAAGCCAGCAAGGGGTCAGTGGCCGGGACAGGTTCTGCGTGTTTAGGGAAATACTACGCCTCGGAAAAGGGCGAGAAGGTGGCGCGAGGGTGAGAAGGCGGTGACAGAGGTCCGAGTGGCTGCCGCGCGATGGGGCGATGGCCTTTCAGACCTCCGACCGAGCTACAATTTCAATTCAACCCGTCGCGTCGCGTCCTCGCTCGCTGCAGCGCAGCGAGCACTCCAGGGACGAATTCAGAACGTTTGGCGGGTGTAAGGTGGACATCGGGAATCCGGTAAAACATCAAACCTCCGGCATCGCTGCGGCCGCAAAAAGATCGTGCGAGAACGGGACCAACGACGACTGTGGAGAATCATTACAAATGACAGAAGTGCAATCCTGCCGCAAATTGCTGCAGATGTCAATACTGGGTCATCAACAGGTGTCAGTGTGGGAACCATTCAAGAAGACATTACCGATATGTGGTTTCGGAGGCGAATGTCCACTCGTGTACCCTTGATGACTGCACGACACAAAGCTTTACGCCTCACCTGGGCTCGTCAATATCCAGATAGGACTGTTGATGACTGGAAACTCGTTGCCTAGACTGTGGTCTGACGAGTCTCGATTCACATCGCTTCGAGCGGATGGACGTGTAAGAGTATTGCGACAACCTCATGAACCCATGGACCCTGCATATCAACAGGAGCCTGTACAAGCTGTGGAAGGTCTGTGTTGGTATGATGCGTGTGCAGTTGGAGTAATATGGGACCCCTGATATGTATAGATACGACTCTGACACGTACGTAAGCATCCTGTATGATCACGTGCACCCATTCATGTCCATTTGCATCCCGACGGGCTTTGGCAATTCCAGCAAGACAATGTGATAATCCACACAGCCATGATTGTTACACTGCGGCTCCAGGAACACTCTTCTGAATTTAAACACTTCCACTTGCCACCAAAACCCCCAGACATAACATTATTGCACATATCTGGGATGCCTTGGAACGTGCTGTTCAGAAGAGATCTCCAGCCCCCCCCCCACTCTTTCGAGTTTATGGGCAACCCTGCAGGATCCACGGTGTCTTTTACCTCCAGCACTATTTCTGACATTATTCCAGACCATGCCACGTTGTGTTGCGGCACTTCTGCGTGCTCGCGGAGGCCCTACACGATATTAGGATAAGATAAAGATTACACAGCCAGAACTCAAGCACAGAAATACTGCTAATGAAAGTGCTACGACGACGCGATTCAGTCTCCCGGTAGAGCCCCTAGCGGGTCGCTCAGGAAACGTACAGACCGTGTTAAAACGCTTTTGGCTTTTATACACCAAACACTTCAACTGGTCAACAAAATTTGAACTTAATATGATGGTTGTGTGCGAATTTTCAACTCGGGTGCTGCTCAGGGATTATCTACATCATCCTTTTTAGTTTAGAATAAAGGAAGTATTTTATACAAACAATAACTTATTACTCAGATATATAATAAAAACTGAGTTTTAACTCTCTAGAAGGTAGGCGTATCTAGAAGAATCTGAAACTATTGTTTTGAAAAATGTTCAATCACTTATTGGTAAGCTACCTACAACCCCCAGTGTATTAGGGGTAGAGCCTGAGCTTGAATTCTATCCAATGAGAAAAATCGCGACAAAACCAATCATGTCAAGGCTTTTCTTTTCACTCGCAAACTTTCAAATATCTTTTTTCAAGGCACAAAGTTATTGGCAGCTCGTGAAGTGTTTGTTCAAACCGTAAATCACAGTAAATGTTTTTCTTAATGTTTTTCGAATCACTAATCCAAGCACTTCCGAAGAATACGTATAGATGTAAATATAGAGTGCATTGGGCAACCTTGACAGTTGACACCCTGACCAACACCGGATTCACATCGCTTTCAAGCGATTCGTACAATGAAGCACTCATATTGATTTGCTTTCTGTGGTTGGAGTTGGAAGTTCCAGACTCTCCTCGAGCGACCCAATCATTTGCCTCCGTAGAGTCGTCTGCCACGCGGTCCTCAAAGTGAACTGCTCTGTCACAGAAGCCGCGCTAGGCGGCGAGCAGGACGAGAACGGCGGACGCGGGGCCTGGGCCGGGGACGCGGCGGGGGCGGAGGCGGGGGCGCGGGGATGACAGATGGGGGAGAGGCAGTTCCGGTACGCAGGCGGTGCCTAACTGCTCGTGACGAACACGCAGGTACAAAATGCCCCGCGTCGGTTCCCGCAGCGCTCCTCCGCGGCCCACGCAACGGCTCAGCGACAACGCCACGCTGCAGAGGCGGGGATTCCAGCCATCTTTCAGAGGAGTCGCAATCAAAACAGAGCCTACTCATGACACATGTTTCTCCGAATCAGAAAGTGTTCGATACACTATTGTGGATGACACATTTCGTTTCCTTTAGCACAAGAAAGCGCTTCAGTAAGAAATCTTACCTTCTGTCCTCGCAGGATATTCTGATTTTTGTTTATAATCCAACGGTATATACGATCTACTTTGTAATCTCTTATATATTTTTAAAAAATGCCTTTTTCCTAAATTGCAACTCTTTACAACCATTCATTTTATTTTCCAATAATTACATTAGTTTATACTTAACGTATCGTCACTACTCAAATGTACAGAAGTAATAAAGAAAATATGGTTTTCTACAATGGTAAAAACGATATGTTTTCTAGATTAGTATGTGATGTTTTGCAAAAGAGGCGGATTCAGACGGTATTACAGGGAAGCGAGAAAATTTGATTTCTGATATCCCGATCCCTAACTATGTATGAAATATTAGAAATATTTTTCAAATTGTCAATTTTAGAATGTTAATTGCCATTAGAACGAGGTATCCTTTATGTGGTAACTGTTACGAATAAATATAGTAAAAATATACCAAAGAATGTCGAGTTTAGGTAAGGGCATTTCTTCATGTCTTCTACTACTTCCCTCACTCCCGAATCCACCACTGTTTAGACAGTGCGATTATCTAGTATGTAGTTGGTAGACAAAGTACATTTATAACGTGATTGTATTTTTTCCTTCCGCTGTTTCCTTCCTGTGTTTCCTTTTCTGATTCCCTAGAAATGCTTCTGCTCTATGAAATTCCAGTGTTAACATTACAAAACAGTACAATTTGCTAGAGGGAAGTATTGTTTTGTAACAATGTGTCAAATAGAACTCTCTTATTTCTTATGAAAAATGTATTATCACTGAGGAAAATATCAAAAAATTGAACAGGAGACAACGTTTTCTGCTTACCCATCATCTAGTGTGATCTTTAGTCGGTTTTCTCCAATCCCCCCATGAATAGTTTAATGTGTAGCGGAGCCAATGCTCTCAACGACAGTCTCTGCGTCAGACATGCGGGCCAAGGTCACACTCTGTTGTCTGAGTACTAACGTACCTACATGTCCTTGAAAGTTGACATGTATAAAGGACACGGTACGTTTTCAGGAAAAAACGATTATTACCTATAGATTCTACAAGTCGGTAGCTATTATTAATTTACAATCTTGGATTATGTGTTCATTTTTTTTCATTTGCGTAGTTGATATGGTCCAGTGTAGTTTTCTTTCTCCACTGCTACTCTCTTACAATCCATTGACAGCAGATTTAACAACCCCCAAGGAATTGATTTGTACTCAAAATGAGACAGCTTCCTTGGTACGCATAAGTGAACGATTGAGCAAATTGGAGCGTAAAAGAAGTGCAGTATACTACAAAGAAACAAAATATCAGTAAGCTGTTTCGCGACCCATACAAAGCGAAAAAGCATCGAACACGTCGTGTAACCTAGCCGCGAGATCGGAATTCTTTTATGAGTCGCATAATAAAAATGTTGTCACCTTTGTCGCATACCCTCTGAGCAGAGCGCGGCTGTCAAACGAGTTGGCGCGAGCGGGGATATCGACCCCTGCGTCCTGACTGCGGCACAGCGGACAACGGTTCCGAGTTCGACACCCCTGCTCGCCGGCCGCTTCGTCTCGCGGATTCTTGGACGGCAGAGACGGCGACGTCCGCCACTGCCCGCCGCGCCGTCTGGCAACAGCCGCCCGCCGCCGCCGCCTCCACCGCCTCCGCCGCCGCGCCGCCCGCGGCCCGCCTCAAGGCGAAGGGATCGCGCCGCTCGGCGAACTCCGCGAAGGCTGGTCTGAAAATACGGCTGTGCGCGAAGGCGCGGCGCGCGGCGGCGCGGCGGCAGACGCTCTGTTGCCACATCGCCGCGCCGCTGGAGCGCGCGCAGCTGTGCGACGCAACCCGGCCGATCTGCCGCCACCGTCGCCACTGCCGCCTCCGCCGCCGCCGCCGCTGGAGTCAGCGCCTCACCAGCCCGGCGCGGCGCCGCCGCAGGAGCCCGCACGAGACTGTTGCGTTCGGCGCGCCCGGGCAGGGCGATTACTTAGAAGGCAACAGGGCAGTGCGCCCACCCTTTCCCTTGCCCAATGCCTTATTCGCGCGCTCACGCTAATTTCTATGGCTCTCCTGATCGGGCTAGTTTCCCAGCTTCGTCTCCCTGTTCTCATTCCGACTTAACCTGCCTCGCGTTTTAGGCTTGTTCTACTGCCTCACTTTTAACGTTGTTGGCCTCTTCGAATCCACAAATATCTATCACGCTGATCCATTGCGTCTTACTCTAACATTAATTATCTCTCCATTTCTACTTCGCTAGTTTGCACGTCCTACGCTCTACGTACTGCTGTCGCTTCCATCCGCGCCGCGTGCCCTTCCGCTCCCTGCCCCTTGCTTTCGTGTCCTCCATTCCCCTGCGGCCGCGTCTCGCGCCCTTCTCCTCTCCGCCCCCGCTCGCCCTCCGCGGCGCGTAATCAGACGCGCGGGATGTGCCCGTGGAATCCGCGGGGATTCTGCCCCCGCCCCCACCCTGCTCCGGCATGCGGCGCAATCTCGCACGCACGCCTCTCAGCACGCTCGAGGGCGGCGCGCGCAATATGCCCTGGGCGAGGGAGGCGCGGGGGCGAGCCGGCGCCGCGCCGAGGACAGCCCAGGTCGAGTACCGGCAGACGCAGCCTGCTCGCAGTTGCCAGTATTAAATGGGTTTAGCTTTCATAGAGCTGCGGTATTATCTCCGGTACGAACACGATTCTGGGGATACTATTTCGGTTATTGCCGGCTCTCCGGTGAAACTCACCGTCCTCACAAATTCCAGTAAGCAAAGGGAAAAATTCATTCCATAATTTTCTTTTCTGTATTCCAGCAATATTAAAGAACCTTTTCTTTTACAAGAAATCGTTCATAATCGGCATTTTAGGGCACAAATGATGACGTATTAGATTTTATTTCACGAGTAATTGCGTCATCACACATTCAGCCAATCGTAGCGAGATAATCGGGGGAGGTAGAGCTAAACGGACCGTTTACTCGCACGATATCAAATACCCGAGTTCACAGGGAAGTTGTTTCGGAAAATTAAGTTTGATTATTAGTGTAACATCATTCCTGCAACATGTAAATTGCGATAAAGTAGTGAAATGAATTGTGTATCCTTGGAGAAACTGACAGAAATCCAGCTGTTAATTGGTTAGAACAAGATCAAATTGCTCTCATTGATCGTCAGCATTGCTTTATCTAGTACCTCCAATCAAATAAGAAAATGTTCCATTATTTTCACTCTCATTTGAAAATGAATAAACAGTGCGTCAGCAACGAGATGTACTTCACTCCTATTAATTATCAACAAGACACTTGTAGATTACAGTTGACTGGATGCGCGGGAAGAGAAAGTTATCATTATAGGAATAGTCATCATATTTCCTTAATTTACTCTTATTGCTTATTTTTGTACAAGTATGGATATTTTTGACTCGAAGCCAATTTTGTTACATTTTCTCTGTGTAAACGTATGAAAGATCGCGCTTGGATCGCAGGAACGTTGTGCCTCGAATGTCACAGGATTACCCTTCACAATGCAGGATGACGTTCTGGAAATAAGTTTCAATTCTTGGAACTTTTTGAATTTTTTTTTCTGGCACAACCTTGGAAACCCTTTCGAACTAACTTTACACACACACATCACGCTCGTGATCTATAAAACGAAATTCCCTACACTAAATTGTCGCGATTCTCTTCTTTCCACCAATCTGGAAAATATTTTCATCAAAGTTAGCATTGTCTATTTCGTAAATTGTATCTAATAAAAGATACTTCCTCGACGTGGCCCGGGGATTAATCAAAGGGGAGTCATCAAAGAAGCCCAACCCGCCCCGCATCCCCCACATGTGATGCGCTGCGACATCCCCCTCGCGCCCATCACGATAACTGCCAGCTCCCATCTGGCACCGCCTAGCAACAATTCGGCCTACATTCACTGCGAGCAGTATCTTTCGCACAAACATTTTGTTGTAAGACCAAATTTGGGATTAAATTACCACCATTAAAAAAATTGTAAATGGAACATTTTGAAATCGTTCCCCTGGTTCAAAATTTATTGTGGAATAACACACACACACTTACACGAAACTACACACCCACGCGCATACAAACATTTGAATAGTATAGGTACATTAAAAATATATAATACTGTAAGATGTAATACTGCCATAGATATTGATGTGTAGGCTCCAATAAAGAAATCGTTACATCAAGAGACATCAAGCGGTCGAGAATGCAAAATTTGAGAATTCGATGTTTTCTCACACCAGAAGAAAAAAAAGTGATTTATCGTTAAGAGTTTACGAGTAGGTTAAGTAAAGAACTATGAAGTAGTTCTCAAAAGCTATTATTAAGAACGGATTTCGTTAAAACTAAGCGCATCACACAAGGGTAACCACAACCTCATTCTCCCTATACTACGTTCAAAACCACTGTTCATTTTGCCTTTTGACACAGTAGTTACAAGTTCACTATATTCTGGTGTTCGAACTAAAACTGCGAATAAACAGACTTGCCGTCTTCATCCCACAAATATTTTATCTGTTTATAAGGAAATCTGGATCAAAGGAGTTTCAATACATCTCAGGGGAATCGAGATTTTATTGTAATGGGAATATTGGCTTGTTGGCCGAGGTGGAAAAAGGCAGCGCTCGGACACGATGGGAGAAGTGAGTGGAATTTAGAGTATATGCTTATTGAACAGTCTGCAAAATAAGGGATTTGGAGTTTTCATTTGGCTGTGGTTTGGTTGTTGTTGATGTTAGTAGTGCCGTTGTTGCTTAACCATTGTTTTAATGTGGGGTTAATAGAAGTAAAGTTACAATGGGCCTACTTGATAGTGATGGAATATGTTTTTATTGTTATTTAGTCAGCTGTTGTTACTACATAGGAGAGTTGAGAAAGTGTGAAATCTTAGGTTGAGCTGTGTATAGAAGAATATGTATACTCCGAGAGGAAGATTCAGTTAGTTTATCAGAGGGCTCTTTACATATTTGGCATCCTTTGTAATTATCTGAATGATGTTAGAGGCAGTCTAAAGTTTAGACATGTAAGTGTTCCTTGTTTTGGAAATTTGCATTATGAGTAGTGTATATTATTTCGATTCGTTTGTTGCTAGTGTTTGTACTCTATGGAGAGGTGGGTTTGCCCTCAAGGGATTTACTTGGGCTGAAAATTTTAAAAAATAAATAAAAAAGTGAGTAGCGATAATCCATCTCACAAATATTGGGCTCAGCCCACAATTAGCTTGTATGTGGTCATAATTGTGGAACTTCTTGCACTGGATTGTGTCCGTGGTATTATTTATATTTACTTTCATTTTCCAGTAGTATAAGTCTTTAAGATTTAATATTGTTTTAGCTGTACCATTTTCTATTAAATCTTTTGCTGTTATTGGCATATGCGCTTTATCTTTTTATACAATCTTGAGTACTTTTGTACTGAAAGGTGCTTGGATATAAGTTTGGCAGTAATACCTGTTTCTGATAAACTGGTTGGCACGTCTTTAATAACTACTGAGAACATGTTGATAGTTGGATCTCAGACAGAGGGATATGGTATGTTTTCACTCTCACAGCATTGTGTGAAGCATCAGAAGTCACTAATTTCTTCAAACATTACTTTCATATTATTATATTTCAATTTCGGTATTGAAAACGCCTTGGCTACGCTTCTAATGTCGTTGACTATGCGATTGTAGTTATAGACTTTATGCTCATTTATGAGAGAAATTTTTGTGGTTGGTGGTTGGTTTTCACATTAGTGAAGGGTGGCACTACTTGTTTGGTCTTCTGAGATTAGTAATACATATATATTACTTGGCACATTGTCGTGAGAAGTTTCACTATTACTATAATGACTTTTCCCCTTTCTGGGATCATCAGCATTTTTAGGTGGGTTGGAATCGGTACTTACATTTTGTTATCGTTATGTTGTTGGCTGTTGTAGGGAACTGGAGGTGCTGGTTGCGTGGAAGGTTTTTTGTGATTGAATCTTCTGGCTGGTTTCGCAAACAAATCATCCGTTCCCCACCAGGAGACCGAGACGCGTCGAATGACATCTCATTTGTCTCCACTGGTGGACAGGAAGGGGTCTGATATTGTGAGTTTGTTTTGTTTCCTTCAACCTCAGAAAAATGTGAGGTATGAAACATCCCAAAAACATACTTATTAACTTTACAGCCAAGGGAATTGAAAATGTAGTATTTAAAGTGCAATTAAATTTAGAATTCTGTCTTTATAAATTCATTCTTTCACGGAAGTAACCCAAAATATATTATTTACTGTGATAACTGCCACAATCTATTTCCCTAAATGAGAACTAACACGTTTTGTGACCACAAGATTTAAGAAAGGGATAACTACTAATGTCGTTCGCTTCATGTGCTCCGTTGTCTACTTATAAAATCTGAGCACTGCTCATGACACAGGCAAATAAAACACGGGTTCGTTGAAACGCGCGAACATAATTGAAAACGCGGAAATGACGCAGACGGTTGGCAAGCGCAGCTGCCTCTTGTCGCTATCGTCCAGGATATGACGGACCAATTGTCCTCATCAAACGGCGAATAGCAACACTTCCATCTAAAAGAGTCGCTTTAAAGGATGTGGCATGAGATGTGGCACGTGCGACAACCCTCTACAACGCGCCTTTTTTTACGACGGACGAAAACACTGTTGCCAACTTCTATTGCCACTTGAAGTCTTCCGAAATTTGAAGGGGAGAGTGAGGGAGTGAGACACAGACGAGAGAGAGAGAGAGAGAGAGAGAGAGAGAGAGAGAGAGAGAGAGAGAGAGAGAGAAAGAGAGAGAGAGAGGGGGGGGGTAAAGAG